TATGCATCAAAAAAAAAATAAAAAAAATAGCCGAAGTAGATAGACAAAACACTGCATCTAAAAATAAAGAAAACAGTCAAAAATTAAGTGGAAGACAGTATCTACTGTCTCTACTTCATGTCTCTACTGTCAGGAAAATTACTCTACTAGTGTTGAAAGTTTGGTTTCTTGTAATGATTGCCACAGCTGAGCACATTAGTCTTGTGCTGGTTTAGAAGAAAAAGATAAACGGCCAAACTTTATTATACTTTATACTTTATATATATATATCTACTATAGCATATTTATATGCGCAATTGCTCACTTTTTTTGCTAGCCTAAATTAAGTGAGCGTTTTTAGAAAACGATGAGGAAAAACGAAGAATATTGAATGAAAAGGTTGGTGACCCATACCAAACCCTAGGTTATACACTTATATATGTATATATATATATATATATATATGCATATATATATATATATATATATATATATATATATATATATATATACATATATATATATGTATATATATATATATATATATATATATATATATATATACATATATATATATATATATACATATATATATATATATATATATACATATATATATATATATATATATATATACATATATATATATATATATATATATATATATATATATATATATATATATATATATATATATATATATATATATATATATATATATATATATATATATATATATATATATACTATATATATATATATATATATATATATATATATATATATATATATATATATATATATATATATATATATATATATATATATATATATATATATATATATATATGTATATATATATATACATATATTAGGGAGGATCGATTTAAAAAATTTTTGAAATTTGATTTGCCTTAGCTGCGAATCGATGTCTTTTGGTGAAAAAAGAATCTTACTTTTTTTTTTTTAAATTTAAATGAGTTTTAGAGGTTCCTCTTTGGATTCTAAATTTATGACGGACCCTAATATTGTTAAAATTGCAAATATTTTTTATTTTAATTACATTGGATTCCTTAATATATTTCATTTCCATAAAGGTTTCAACCACTTCTGTAGCTTATTTAGTTCTAAAGATATACGTATTTTAACATTTTCAGTTCATAGACTTTTTAAACAACGGTAAAATTAATTTAAATCATTTTAATTTACTTTAATTTAGAATTAAAGTAAATTAAAATAATTTAAATTAAAATTAAAACAGAGCTGTATTTATATACTTTATTTATAAATAAAACTGCATATTTTTCACAACTATTAGTATCATGATAAATGCAATCATCAGGTGTAAATATGTTTTTTTTCTCGTAAAAATAATAAATCTGTACAAAAGAAAATGAGTTAAAAAATCTAATCTTTTGGTTTGTGGTTGTCCAGCAAAAACTTGTTCTCATGGCGACATTTAGATATTAGTTACATATATTTACATATTTATTTGTAGTTATATATATATATATATATATATATGTATATATATATATATATATACATATATATATATATATATATATATATATATATATATATATATATATATATATATATATATATATATATATATATATATATATATATATATATATATATCGCGACGTTAGAATTATCTCTGCTATATCTAATTTTTTGTCTAATTTTTATATAAAAAAAACTTTTTAAAATTACGCTAACGCCCTTTTTTTCGCACCCTCTTTTGGGGATTTTTCAACAACGACATGTTAGAAATTGATGAAATTTTGTTCTACCTGCTAATTATTCTTACGCAGTACCATACACTCCTAATTTATGGGCATGGGCCCCTAATTTAGGGGCATGGGTTCCTAATTTAACGGGACCCTTTTCAAAATATAAGACGCTTTTTGTATTACCTAAAAAATTAAGTTTTTTTAAATAAAATGAGGCCCTAATTAGGAGAACTTTTAGAAGAGCCTCTAACGACACTGTTCTTACGACTTACATTTACTTTAATTACCTGTAGGCGCCGGCCCTGGACAAGACTAAGACGTCTAATTTAAAACGGAAAATTTGGCTGCGTAATAATAATATAAACGTATTAATATTATATAAACGTATAAAATAAAATATGAAAGGTATATAGGAAAAAGTTATGTTAAAAAAAATGTAATAATAAAAGAAATAACATTATGTAACTATCTGATAATTCACAACAATTCAACTAATCTAATCACAAACTCCATACTAAATAAATATTTTATTTAAATATGTTATTTATATGTTTATTGTTTATATTATTATATATATATAAATATGTTATTTATATTTATACTAAACATATAACAACCCTAAAAATATTTTGACTTTATTAATGTTTTGTAAATGTTCAATTTATTATTGTTTTATAAAATGCAATATCAACAGCAGGCATGTATGAATACATGGAAATGATATCATTGGCTTTTGCAACAGATATAGACTGATAAGAAGCACGAAAGCAAGCTGCCATTGGTATATTGGTATTTAATGGTTTTGCAACAATGGTTGATACTGCTTTCTTGACAGACTTATTTATACAAGCTTGTGAATAATTATCTGAAAACGAGGTTTTAAAAAAAACATGGTATGGCAGTCCGTTTCGATAAACAAGATTTTTAACTTTTGAATAAGGCACTAACTTATAACTTGACAAACCAGCGACAACTGAAAAATTCTTTACATCTCCTAATTGCATTTGGTAAACACAGAAAGGTTTTTTACGGTTTACATTTTTAATAGCTCTTTCTAGCCCAAGTGGACTAAATATTTCTGCAGCAGAGAGGGATTTTTCAATCTGACTATGAATGTTGTCACATTCTTGAATGCTGGAATGACCTGGCTCGCAGAACTTCTGTTCAATAACTTTTATTTGTGGGTATCGTATTATAAATTCACACAAAGCTGCTGAGATGAAACTATTGCGGTTTTGTGGTACACATGAATCGAACCAAAGTATGAACTTATTTATGTCAAGGTCAGCCATGATTTTCAAAAGCAAACATGTTACAGCACTGGCTAGATCATTTCCTCCACGACCAGTCATGGCTTCGTGCCAAAGGATGCAATAACCCTTCCTGTTAAGCGAGCAATGACCAGTTAAGTTATAATTTGAAAGTTTTCGTTTGTAATAAAAGTTTCCCACATTAGCTCTAGGCAAATTTAAAACATTTTCAAGGTCAATACAAACAATTGCAGTTTTAGAATCAACATTTTGGCGATCATTTTCACGTTCAGTTTTGGTATCATTCCTTGATTTTATGTTCTTATTATAACTATCTGTTTGTTCATTGCTTGCATTAACAATGTTGCGATACTCATAGCATGTGTCACATAAATCTTTCTTCGGTTTTTGAAATTCTATATTGAACTCGTGATTAAAGATATAACGATACATATGTTCTTTTGCTGGAGGAGAGACATTTTCATCACAATATATTTTATAAAGATCATACATTCTACCTATATTTAGTGATCCTTCCATGTATTCTTTATGTGTCTTTTTCCTGCTATAATGAGCATCAATTCTTGGGAAAAGGTTAATATGGTCTCATACAACTTGTTTAGACTCTTCTAGTAACCTTTTTTCAACATGTTTCCCTGATTTTGATTGCAATGGTGTTCCAGTAGTTAAAGATTTATTAAACTTATGAAAGTAAAACACTCTATGGCTGCTAATATTCAATGTTGAAAGATAATATGATTTACAAACTCTATATTGTGTATTAGAAACAAAAAAGCTATAATAATAAGATGTTTTTCTTCTTGAATTGTCACCAGCAGCTGTCCGACAGCGTTTTTTCTCCAGATTTTCAGTAGTTTTAGAATAGAAATGTTTTTTTCCGTCATCATCTAAGGTCCAAAAGTTATCAAATATTATTTGACGCTCAATCTCAGATATATTGGTAGAACATTTAAATTTACAATTTCTGCAACTTTTTAGTGCAACAATAGATCTTTTTGGCATTTGTTCTCCTTTCGTATTTTTATAAGCTTTACCCGACTGACGTTGGATTTTTCTTACACTTTGTTTCCAACTACTCCTATCAGCTTTACGTTTCCTAGAAACCTCACCATGGGACGACCGACGAGAAGGTGTAATGCCAAGCAGCTCTAACGATTAAAATATTAATTTTTTATTATCCAGGATGTATAAATAATAACTTTTAAATTTAATCTAAAATGGCACAAGCGAAAGTCGAATTCTACTTCTCCAAAATTATAATACAAATTAAGTTGAAAAACTACCTTCGTTTTGATTTAGGGCAGGTTCCATTTCTTGGTCAATATTTGCAGTTGCCATTTTGAAAACAACAAAACTGATAAAATTATTCTTATTTTTTTAACAGTAGGTTACTCTTTTTTTAGGGTAGTTTAACCGCTTAGAATCTAAATAACAGACTCTACCCAGCCGGCATTATTACGTTGTTTCAACGTTGAAATTCGGTTGAAGCGTTGTTTCAACGTTGTTCAACTATGTCACAACGTTAAATCAACGTTACAGTTTAAACGTTGATTATTTAACGTTATTTCAACGTCATTGTTTCAATCATTGTTGACAAAAAATACGATGAAAATTTATGCGCACGCAGAAATGGAATTAAAAACGTAAACATTATTTCAACGGTTAAAGTTATAGAGATTTATAATGGAAAAAAAATGTAAATACTGAACTTATACCATATAGAATTTTCATGAGATCGAAAACATGTTCAGACAATTTTTCTGAAAGAACATTACTGTTTAAAAATCGATATTTTTCGTTTAACTTGGGCTACAATGCTCAAAGACTGATATTATTAAATGTAAATATAATACAACTTTTTCAAAAAATGATCCATTAAATTATGTTGAATTTAATGCTAAGCGTTGTTTTTTAATAGAGCATCAAGAATTAAAAAAGGAAATTGATAACTTTAAAAAAGAACTTTAGCACGAAATAAAAAAATAAAGATTTATATATGAAAAATGAACTTCAACCACATCAGTTATTTGTGGTAGATTATTCCCACCGCCTGAATTATTCTATCCCACTATGAAAAACTCAAAACGAGAATGCGCTTTCACGTTGTAGCTGTTAGAAGCGTGCCTAACACGTCCGTGAATAACATAAACACCAAGAAAATACTCGTAGATGTTCACATTGCAGTATTTTTCAAATACTATTTAATTACTTTGTCATTTTATGACTTTAATAGTTAGCATAAGAGGGAAGTGTTAATTCTAAATAATTTAGTTATCTTTGTTAGTATTTTATAGAACAATGTAAGTATCTATTCTTGTTAATCTTGTTTTTTTCCTCTAAGATAATTAAACGCTAAAAAAAAAAAGTATGACAAAAAATGATGTTAAATAAAACTATATATTTATGCTCTATAAGTTATAAAGTTGTTTAATAATACTTTCCAAATGTCTTAATTTTAGTCTGTAATTTTACCTCCGCCTAGTAAATAACTAAACATGCTTCTGAATTATTACCTCCCGCTAGTTATTAACTAAATACCCTGTCATATTGATATCGATTGACTTTGATAGAAACTATATAACTATATAACTTTAGTAACATAACAATGTGAAAATGTTTTATATATGTTTCTATCTCTGTCTGAATTATTACCTCCCCTTTCTAGCAAATAACTGTGTAAAAGTACAATACAAATGTTTCTATCTCTTCTGAATTATTAGCTCCCCCCTAACAAGTTACTAAATATGCGATGCTATGATATTAATATTGAGTGATAATAATAGAAAATATATAAAAATTTAATATTTGTAACATAACTATGTAAAAATATTTTATAAGTGTCTTTATATCTGCCTGATTTATAATCTCTGCCCTAGCAAATTTCTAAATAAACCATACTGTGATATTGATATTGACTGATATTAATAGAAGTTGTAAAACTATATACTCTGAGGTATATAAAAATGTAAAGATACTTTATAAATGTTTTTTTTATCTCTGTCTGATTTATTATCTTCTCCCTCTTTAGTATGTCACTAAACATGCTTTTGAATTATTTTCTCACTACTAGTAAATAACCAATTACGAAATACTTTATTAATATATATATTTGAACATGTAATTTATTCAATTCTTGTTTTCAGACTAAAAGGCTCGTGCAAGTAAATGAACTTCTTTTCTGAACATGAGGAATACACATTGTGTGGAACCATCGATTCGGTAAGCAATTATCACATTTTATCTATAAAATAAATGATATTTTGAATTCTCCAGTTAATGTTTTAAATTAAAAGCAATAATAATGTTGTTGTTTGAATTTATTCAGTATATACTACCCATTTATCTATTTTCTGTGTTGGATTTTTTTTCGGTCCTTCAGATTTGCCGCAAATGCAGCAAAGTGTTTTAAACCTAAAAATATTTTGATTATAGTTGTGTCATTTTTTTCTTTTTTTTTTCTTTACAAGTTACATTTAAATATACATTTTGAATTAAATTATTGTTTATAATTTGACAAATTTAAGGACAAACCTCCTTTATCTATAAGAATCTCTACAACTTCTATTCTATATTGATCTATTTCTTTGGTTGGAAAAAATTGTAATAACTCTTCGTTATTAACAAAGTTTTCAGCAAACTAAAAAAAATATGTTTAAATCAAACTCTTATCAAATTTAATATAGGTATTACTGTGAAGCCATATTTTTTGAGTACTTTATAGAAGAAGATATTACTTCCACATACCTTTAGACAAAAAACTCCACATGATATACTATCACTTTGCATTGCATGTGGCAATGTTAACATTTGAAAATTTTCAGAAACTCCATACCTTTGTTTTAAGTATGAACTAAATTGTAATAATAAAAATGCTTAATTAAAAAAAAGAAAAAAAGTCAGTATTAGTTAAGACATTATTTGTTAAATAAGTTCATACTTTTTTACTTCTTTTTTTTTTTACAGTGGTTATTGATTCGCCAAGAGGGTTTATATAGAAAATCATCTTTTCCTTTGGTTTGATTATCTAGAACACAATAGAATACAAAAAAGGTGGGTTTAAATAAAGGTTTTTTTTTGACTTTTTTGATTTTTTTGGCTATTTAGAAATTTTTATTTTAAGTTAAATGAAAAACGTTAAATGAATTTTTTTTTTTGTATAATAATATTTGTTTTATTCTAATACTTTTTTTCTTTAGTTTTTGAATCAAAATTTACAAAAAAAAAAACGTCAAAATCTGGATTACTGTTAGCGTTCAATGGAAGTTTGCAACAATACAGCACATAAGTATATCTATTTTAAACAACTCGTTCTAAATAATTTATAAAATTTTGCCTTTTATAAGATTGATTTTTAAATATTTACATAATTTAAAAAAATTTTTAAGTCTTAATTTAAAAAAGTTTCCTTTTTTTATATATAGTATTTCTTGATACCAAATGTAGTCTTTTAATCATACAATAGATGCTTGATACCCAATGTAGTCTTTTAATCATACAATAGATGTTTACATAAAAATTAAAGTCATACAATACAGGCTTGGTCGGGAAGCGGGTGCGATCGCACTCGATATTTGACCACGGAAATTATGTTTAGTTGCGAAAAGCCGGCCAGATTTTTTAGGCGTTTTGAGAACATTTCAAAAACAAGCAAAAAAGCGCAATAAGATAAACTGGACCGATGAGAGACAGTTAAAATAAAGAAAAATAGCTTTTAACGCAAAACTTTAAGCAAAATAAATACGATTAGAGCAAATATTTTTGAAACTTTGTTTATAATTTCTTCTTTTATAATTTTTTATGATTTCTTCTTTTATAATTTTTTTTTTAAAAAAAAAGCGACATTTTTTGTATATAGTAACAACGTACTTATAATGATTGTTTTAATAAAGAAACAAATGTTCTTCAATTTATCAAAGATTATATATATTATTTTTATTTATATACTTATGTCTTATTTTCAGTGCTGGAAGAGGTGGGGGAGGGGGTAGAAGAGCTATAGTCCCGGGACACACAATGTTATGGGCCGAGAAATAGTCAAAAGGACCTATTGGTAATTGGTAACCAGTAAAACTAACGCTACATAATTTAATTATAAATAAAAAAAGTTTTTTCAGTACCTGTTTTATGTGTTCGCGTAGTTTGAAAAGTTTAACATATTTGAAACAATTCTTCTTAGTAAGATGGACAAATGAAATAACAAAATCATTGAGTTACTGTGGAAATTTAATTAGCTAGATAGAAATTAACTGTTGCGAAAAGTTGCGAAAAGCCGGCCAGATTTTTCAGGCGTTTTGAGAACATTTAAGTTTATGTATGTTTCGTTGTTTGTCCGCAAAACAATAAATTTATTATTTTATCGTAAATTTTGTTTTACGGACGTATATGGAAATTTATATAAACTTGAATGTTGTTAAACATCTTAGTGCGGAAAAATAAATAAAAAATATTCGCGAACACAAAAAACCCGCCAAAATTACGAATAACTAATTCTATTGGTTCAATTAATAAATAACTGAAATTACTAAAGAATTCAAGCGAATGTTCTAGAGTATTCTGTTGAATTATTTTTCAAAATCGTATAGTTTGAGTTTTGTTATGTTTTCGTTGAGATTTCTAGCAACAATTGTTTTAAGAATATACTATCAAACGAACAATTATTTTAATACAATGGCTCATTCTCGGAGTCACATCCACAAAGCTATAAATGTTTTAAACTAACATTTGTTTAAAAAAATAAATGTTTTAAATTTATATTTTTTAACTTGTCAATGTTTTGTAAATATATTATAGATTTAATTAGTATAATCTTATTTTTTATATATAAGGGATGTATTTATATGTATGTAATGTATTAGAAATTGGCTTATTAAATTCAATTATTTTTGCTTCAGCCATTCTTACAAACTCGTTATACTTACACTTTAAGCTACTTTTTTCTGTAAAATACTAGTTAAAGATATAAAGCCCACTCACTAAACATCATCAGCGATATTGTTAAGCAGTTCCGCTTCCTCCTTACAAAGTAATTTAACGTTTTTAGTTAATTTCTATCTAGCTAATTAAATTTCCACAGTAACAATGATTTAGTTATTTCATTTGTTCATCTTACTAAGAAGAAGTGTTTCAAATATGTTAAACTTTTCAAACTACGCGAAGCATAAAACAGGTACTGAAATTTTTTTTTTTTTATTTATAATTAAATTATGTAGCGTTAGTTTTATTGGTTTAATCTTTTTGGACTTTACAGGGCCGCGGGCTGCACTATTTTGGTGGCCTTTTTTATGTGCGACAGCGTAAAAATGACCTAAAAATACCGATAGGTCCTCTTGACTATTTCTCGGCCCATAACATTGTGTGTCCCGGGACTATAGCTCTTCTACCCTCCTTCCCCCCACCTCTTATTTCCAGCACTGGAAATAAGACATGAGTATATAAATAAAAATTATATATAATCTTTGATAAATTGAAGAACATTTGTTTCTTTATTAAACAATCATTATTAGTACGTTGTTACTATATACAAAAAATGTCCCTTTTTTTTAAAATAAAAAAATTATGAAAGAGCGACGTTTCAAAAATATTTGCTCTAATCGTATTTATTTTGCTTAATGTTTTTTCGCGTTAAAAGCTATTTTTCTTTTTTTAACTGTCTCTCATCGGTCCAGTTTATCATATTGCGCTTTTTTGCTTGTTTTTAAAATGTTCTCAAAACGCCTAAAAAATCTGGCCAGCTTTTCGCAACTAAATATAATTTCCGTGGTCAAATATCGAGTGCCATCGCACCCGCTTCCCGACCAAGCCTGATTGACAATAGATATTTACATAAAACCTTTTATATATGTTTTTAATGTTTAATTTTATAAATTATTTTGATAATTAATATATAAAATTTCTCTAAAAGAGAATGTAGTTAGATAGGAAAAGAAGTTAGAATGTTTACCAGAGTTTTTAAAATTGGAAAGACAAAAACCATTCAGCATTATAAAACTAGAAAAATATTAGACTGTCTATTTTTAAAGATGTTTTCAATAATATTTAGTATGTTTCAAGTAGTGTTTTGGAACATTTAATATATTCTTCTCTTAATACTGTAGATGGTATGACAGCTTTCGCAAACAATGTTTTTCTCAATGTTAAAATTTTTCTAAAAAAGAATGTAGTTAGATAGGAAAAGAAGTTAGAATGTTTACCAGAGTTTTTAAAATTGGAAAGACAAAAACCATTCAGCATTATAAAAATAGAAAAATATTAGACTGTTTATTTTTAAAGATGTTTTAAAGTTAAATTGAATTCTTTGTCTTAAAAAAAGACAAATAAAAAAAGTAAACATTTTCTATGTTTACTTTTTTTATTTTACTATTTTTTATCTTATATTTCTAAATGTTGTTTTCAGAATGAAAAGGAATTTCTATAAGTGCATTTGTTGTTAGACTTACATATATATTTCATTGACTTTAACTGGATAACCATCAATATAAAGGCTTCATATAAAAAATAATTAAATAAGTATTGTGACTTGTAATGGAGACGTTAAGTGTTGTAATTTGAAAATAGGTAACTCTAATGTTGTGACTGAAAAAATAGGTACTGCAACTCTTGTTACTTGCAAGAAGCGTTTGACACGATACTCTTGGCACCCATTGCAACCGCGGTAATATCTAACATACGCAAATATATAACTTTCTTCAAATTATGTAATTTTAAAAACATACTAAACATATATTAAGCTTTTTAGTTTTACTTTCACTTGAAAATTGGATTGCGGCAACATTTCCTTAAGACTTAATCTTGAGCACTTAATTGCGTTTGATAAAATTTTTATTATGTTATATAGTTTTAAAATTTATTATAATCAATTATTGGCTTAGCCATGTAGTAAGCACGGGAGGCTCTAATGTAGGGGGTCTGGGTTCAAATCCTACCATCAGTTTTTTTTTTTTTAATTTTATGTTTTTCAACTTTCTAAAATACAAAGTAAATCTTTTTTGAAGAAAAAAATTTGTTTCAAAAGAAAGTTTTGCATTTTAAATAACAAATATTCTAAAAAAATTCAAGCTGATGATTGGAACTTGCCACATGATGACATTTAGTTTTTTGAAACAGTAAGGAGGCCTAAAAAAAATGTTTTTACTAAAAACATAATTAAATATTCTAATTTTATATTTAAAATAAACCATTTTATTACACTTATAATTTTTAAAAATAACAATAAGTTAAAAGTACATAAAATTAAGGTAACAAAGAAATTTAACTTGGATGTCTTTAACATAAGGCATGATAAGGCACAAGGCATTGTAGATGTAAATGCTGTTAGTTTTTCTTTTTTACTTATAAATTTATGAAATATTTTTGAATCTTCAATTATCATTATCATAAACAATATAATTATTGAATATATTTTGATTTATAAATAGTATGTGTTTTTTAACTTTTTAATCTGGTTTTAAATTTGCTAAATTTAATCTTTTAATGTTTTACTTATCAAAACATGTTTTGTTTTAAAGTTGATTTGTTGAAATTCTGCCTTAACAGTTTTATAGTATCTAAAGATGACCTTATTTTAAATGAAAGTAAGTTTTTTTTTTATTGTAGTTGGTTTTGAATAATTTTATGTTAGAATAAAATTTTTGGTTTTGAATAATTTTATATTCAATCATGTTTTATATGAATCTATTTATTTAGAACAGTGGTATGGTGGCAATATTTAGGTAAGATTTTATAAAGTTCAATTTACCTTTAAAGAATCTTTGATATTTAATCTTTAAAAATTTGCTTTTTTTTTTTTACTTTCAACAAATTTTTTTGTGCTAGGTATTTAAAATTTATTAACAATATTTTGTTTGTTATTTTAATTTTAGTGTCACAGCTTAACACATGCTGTAGGTTTTAATTTCTAATTTGTCTTCATCTTAAAAACTAATTTAGACAAAATTTAATATTTTTTAATGATTGTATTATTCTTTTTTATGATATATTTTACTAATAGTTTGATTGCTTTAAATTGTTTTTAGTTTTTAATTTGATTACCTGTATGTTATTTATTATAGCCAATAAAGTTGTAGCAATCCCATCAATAGTAGCTGCTGCGCCGCCTTTATCTGCAAGTGGTAAACAAAGGATTTGTAGGTTTTATAATTAAGTATGAAGTTAAAATATCATTTAGCTATTTCAATTACTACTTTTTTTTATTTTTATACATTTTTTTTAAGAAATTTTAGTATGCAATTGAGACTTTAATAAGGGCCTACATCTTTTTGTGTACTTAGAGTGTGGGCCAAGAATAGGGGTAAAGATTTCCGCTCATTTCATTAGAAGAGTAGAGATTTTCCTTACTGAAATTGAAGTGGGAGTAGTTAGAGTAAACAGGGGAAAATACATAACTATATCAACAAATAGAAAATGTAGTTAAGTGTTTAATATGTATATTTTTATTGATCTGCTTTGGTTCATTTTATTTGTAAATATTAAATAATCAAATTTGTAAAAAAAAAATACCAGTTTTGTTACCTTTTTTTTTTAATATTAACATGTTTTAAAAAAAATTTGTTCAAAAACATAAATTTTGTTTCTACACTGAACACCATCGAAATTTTAATCAGCAATTTAAAACGATTTGCTGCTGTGACAATGGTTATGATTCTCCATGTCAAAATAATATTTTATTCTCAGTTAAGAATTTGTGAGTACTTCAAAATAGAGTTGATAATTTTCATATAAATCAACAATAATTACTGATTTAGAGGGTATCTAATAAGTACATTAAACTTTTAAAATAACTTAGATGCCAATTTTTCAATGTGTACCTTATAGACTTGTCATTATCTGTTCATGAAAACAATGTTTTTATTTAAAAGGATTCTATGTTTAATAATAATAAACATTTTACTTATTTATTCACCTAGCCTATTGTCTGATGGCGATATTCAGGTTAGATTTTATAAATTCAATTTACTTTTTAAGAATCTCTAAAATTTACTTCTTAAAAAGTTAAATTTGCTTTTTTTTTATTACTTTCTAATTCAACAATATTTTTTGTACTAAATGTTTAGAATTAAATAACAATATTTTGTTTGTTATGTTATTTTTAATGCCACAGTTTATCCCATATTGTAGGTTTTAAATTTACATTTATCTTTATCTTTAAAACTGATTTATAAAAAAATTAATATTTCCTTTAATATGATTGAATTCTATTTTATGAGATATTTTACTAATATTTTAATTGCTTTGAATTATTTTTAATTTTCAATTACCTGTGTGTTTTTGTTATAGCCAATACAGTTTAAGCAATCCCAGCAAGAGTAGCTGCTGCAACACCCTTATCTGTAAATGGTAAATAAATAATTTGTAGGTTTTATAGTTAAGTATGAAACTATCAAAATATTTTAAATAACTTTATTTCTTTAAAGCTAAAGCAAACGTTAAAATTGAGTGTGATTGTTTTTAGTTCTTTTTTTTTTGGTTAATTTGTTTATAATTTAACATCTAATATTCAATTAGTTTTAGTTTTTTTAGGACATGAACACGATAATAAATTGGCCACACTGTATTAATTTTAACTTATTGAGAAATTTTTATTTTTTGTTTAGAAAGACACAAATGAGAACTTATACCTATTGAAAGGAACGTTTACAAGTAGGCACGGGCAAATTTGAATGTAAAAATATAGTTTTTAAGACTATATGTCTCAATTGTTGTAAATGTGTACCTGTTTTTATGTGATAATATAATATTTTTACAATATTGCAATCTCATAAACATTATTTTGTCGTATTTTTTTATGACCCGAAAGTAGTTTCTAATACACAAACTAAATACATTTTATAGCACTAACTTTTATTTCTAAAAGCATCTTTTGGTCTGACCCAGAAAGCAAAATTTATTTTTCCTCGTAATTTATTATATAAATATACAAGTGTATAAAAGTGTTTCTCTTGGAAAAGTTGTACATCACTACTTGTGATATACTTCTTGAAGAGAAAAAGTTGAAGTTAATAGGCTTTCCTTGCAGTAGTTGTCAACGAATGATGAAACCAAATGAAAATATTTTTTTAATAATGGTGTAACTGCTTTATGTTTAAATTAAGTTAATATTATTTCGTGTCATTTATCCAGTCGTGAACAATTGTTTAACTGATCAGTTGGTTATCAAGGAATTTTTATAAAATAAATACCAAGTAAAAAAACCGTCGCAGTGGTTAGAGTTCTGGTTTTGAATAAAGAGGTTTCCAGTTCGAATATGCTCATACATGCGATATGCCCATACATGAAGCAGCGTGAACTTACTGCTTAAAAACCTAAACCCGGCGCCCTATACTAAAACGGTTAAGTCATGTCGCAACAACTTTATAACCAATATAAACTATTACATATAATAAAAAGATTGTTTACCAATTTTACATTCATAATTATGTTAATCAGTTCAAATATATTGGAAAAGTTACTGTTATAATATTAAAGCATAAATTTGTTGTAAAATTAAATGCTCTTATATTGAGTTGTAGAAAACTAAATTCTCTGTATCTATTTAAAAAATAAAAAACTCCAAAAATTGTCTCGTCAAAAATAAATTTCTCTTATGTGGACTTAAATAAAGGTGGGTTTCCACTTATCTATTTTTTCAAAAGGACGGATCAAGGGAAGAGAAAAATAATCTCTCGGGCATGCGTAGTATAAATTTTAATTCGTCCGAAAGAAAAATACGCATGCTCACGTGGTTTTCTTTCCATCCCTATCCCGTTCCCGTCAAAAAATATATGAAGTATATATGAAGTGAAAGTCTTAACTTCTTTTTAAATAACATATTGCAACACAATGAATCATTAAACAAAATGCTTCAAGTTAAAAAGAGCAAAGACGACACTTATTTTAATAATCTATTTGTTTATCTTACGGAAAAAAAATATCCAGTTTTGTTTACAAAAAATGAAAAACGCAACCTTAGAGAGCTTTCTAAAAGTTACAGTTTCAACGGTATTTTACAATATTTATCAATTATATAAATACGGCGAGACAAAAACAAAATTAAAAATATCAGAAAAATACTATTGGCCGAATATGAGCAAAGATATTATAACATGGGTAATAATTTTTAACTAAACACCTCTTTTTTGAATGTTATTAAATATTTCTAATTCTTCATTTTTCTTTCTAATAATTCTCTTTCTAATAAAAACATTATTGAATAAACAAAGTTTACTTTCTTTAAAGGTAAAGCAATGCAAGATATGTCAACGGTCGGGATCGCTTCCTTCATCTGCGGTTTCATTACATTCAATAAAGGTAAAGATAAGTAAATCTTTTTTTATATAAGTAGATGTATTAATAAATAATAAATAAAGGACATATAATAAAGGACAGTAAACGGGTATTGCATCAAAAAAAACAACCTAATGTTAACGTTAGAACATTTTTGTTACCTTTCTTAGACAACACAAATATGGGAAATTGTTGGCATTGATTTTGCTGGACCATTTTGTGAAACAGCAAGGGGCAACAAATACTTTTTAATTTGTACAGACTTATTTTCAAAGTGGCCAGTGGCATATGCTTTACCCAATAAAGAGGCTGTTACGGTGGCAAAAGCAATACTCAAGTTAGTCACAACATTTGGTTTTCCTTCAGTAATATTAACGGACAATGGAACAGAGTTTTGTAACCAGGTTGAGACAAAAATTAACATCTATTTAACAATAAATATACAATTACACAAGTACTAACAAAAGTAAATTTTAACAAGTTTAACCAAGATTTATTATTTATGTGTTTAGTTGAACGACGAATTGTATAAGTTATTGGGGATCGAACGCAGAAAAACAGCTGTATATCACCTGCAATCAAATGAACAAGATGAGAATACTAACAAAAACATAAAAAGGTTCGTTTAGTTTTTTTTTTTTTTTTTTTGGATTATATATTTCATTTTGCCCGAGACCCTAGACTAGGTTGAGCAAAAATGAGCATGTGACAACCAAATGTACGTATTATGGAATTTTTTTATTAGAAAACTACGAAAACTTGTTTTTGAAAATGAATCGAATTGGGACGAATTCATAGATGTTGCTTTGTATCCATTACGCGCGGAAAGACAAATTTCAACCAAGGTTTCTTCCTTCGAGATAATGTTTGGCGGCCGTCTGCCTGTGTATGATTGCAAAAATGAAGAAGTAAATATACTTGATTATATAAAAATGCATACATGCATACATTCATGCATACATACATACATACATACATACATACATACATACATACATACATACATACATACATACATACATACATACATACATACATACATACATACATACATACATACATACATACATACATACATACATACATACATACATACATACATACATACATACATACATACATACATACATACATACATACATACATACATACATACATGCATACATACATACATACATACATACATACATACATACATACATACATACATAAATACATATAATTATCTACACGTATACGTATAAATATCCACACTTTGGTATAAAGGGCAAAGGTGGAAAAATATGTTTTAAGAACACTAATCTATATGGCGTTGAAAAAGATATACCTTCATAAGTTGTAACACTTTTCCATTCATTATTTATTTTTTAAATTTTCCCTTTTTGTTTTTTTTTAATATATTTTTTTATTTACAGCTTCTTCTATTGTATTCAATGGACCAAAAGAACCCTCGGTTAATGGAACATTGTTTGACTTTCTAAATTACGCTTTATTTCAAAAAGGTGGTGGAAAAGAGAAGAAATTTGTGTTGATTTTATTCAATTACATGTAAATATATGTAATATTTGAATATGTATTTTTGAATAAAACAAGTTTTATCTCTTTCTTTAATCATACCAAGCTATTTTAACTAAACTAAACTGAAAAAGTTCTAAATACTCTAAGTATAGACTATGAATAGATTTAATATCCATAATATACCTTGATAATGTACAGCAACACTAATGTACATGCATAGTACGTTTTGGTGGTGATCATATTTTGACGCACATAACACGTTTACATACGTATATACATTTTGACATACATAGCACGTTTTGATGGTGAAAAAGTGTTTTACAGTCGTTTAACGTTGATAAATCAACGTTAAACAATATCATTTTAAACGTTGTATCAACGTAAATTCAACGTTGTTGTAAAGTTTTTTTGCGTTTAATCAACGTTGATATAACGTTTGCATCTAACGTTGATTTAACGTTGATAAATCAACGTTGAAAAAAACTTTCATTCTAAACGTTAAATCAACGTTAATTCAACGTTAGGTTTCAACGATATTTCAATGTTATTTCAACGTTATTTGCCGGCTGGATAAGCTGTTAAATTTCCTTTTTGAATCTATGATTGCACTGAAATTATTAAAATATGTTGACTAATATTTTTTTTTTGTTATGTGAAAATAAATTTTAGATTCACCCTTATTTTGGTCTGTTTAGTTTGGGGCCATGTTTTTCACTTTATATTTTAAGAACCAGAATCATGCAATGAATATGCATTAAACATTTTAAAAGTAACTTTTAATAGGTTTATAAAACCTTTTAACAAAAAAAGACAAGAAAAAAACGTATTAAACATATTTTGACATCATATTAATTTGTAATTCTGGTTCATTACCTAAGTCGAACAATAAAAAAAGCACTCATGAAAATTTCAAGTTTGCATATGGTCCCAATCTAAAAGTTTTGAGATAAATACAAAAAAACAAAGAAAAGGTGCGTTATATTACAAAAAGAAGCATGTCTTAATTAAAAACCTCCACTAACTATAAAGTACATAATAAATATAAAGCTGTAGAAAAAAGATATCATTGCTTACAAGTTTAAACGAGTTGAAACTTGCTTGTTTAAAAATCCGTTGCCATGGCGTTGTTAAGGACCTCAAAAACCTATTATGGGCAAAGTATTTGATTTATTTGATCAAAAAAAATATGTATCGTAAATATGTTATTAAATAATTGACTTTTTTTCTAAAAAAGATTTCAAAATTGGTGGGGACCTTAAAGAAAGTTCTAATAAAAGGTAATTTAAATTAATATTTTTCATAGTTTTAATACGCTCAAAGTTTTGTTACGCTAAATGTTAAATTGAAACATTTAAAAATTTAAGTTATGTTAAAAAAAGTTTAAAACATATTTCACTGTTAAAAAAAGTTATATTTATAAATTGTTATTAAAGTTCTAATAAAATTTTATTAAAAGTTTGTTAACGCGCAAGAAAAAAAAAACTATAAAAAAGTTTTTTTTTCGGTGCCAAAAAGTTAACGATATACTTAAAGAAAATATTTCCTAAAAAGTTTATGAACTGAAAATATTAAAATACGTATATCTTTGGGACTAAATAAGTTACAGAAGTGGTTGAAACCTTTATGGAAATGAAATACATTAATGTAATTAAAATAAAAATATTTTCAATTTCAACAATATTAGGGTCCGTCATAAATTTAGAATCCAAAGAGGAACCTCTAAAACTCATTTAAATTAAAAAAAAAAAAAAAGTATGATTCTTTTTTCACCAAAAGAAATCGATTCGCAGCTCAGGCGAATCAAATTTCAAAATTTTTTTAAATCGATCCACCTTAATATATATATATATATATATATATATATATATATATATATATATATATATATATATATATATATATATATATATATATATATATATATATATATATATATATATATATATATATATATACTCTTGCCTTTCTGACCACCATGAGTATATAT